CTACCGATCTGTCACCAATCTAAGAGTTATAAATGGAACAAAGTTTTTTCATAAAGCCGTTCCTTGATTGCCGAAGTAAATCTTACTACCTTTCAAACGTGTTATCTTTTTACGGCAACATGGTTAACGCTGAATTTGGGAGTATACAATGCAGATATTGTTTGTGACCTATGGTGAAAACAGTGAATTAACAGAGGCAGCGAATTGAGCATTTTGGTAACGAACACGAATGTAGTGAACTAGACTCGTAGCAAAAGTGGCGTAAACCGAAACACAAGATGTCTTTAGAGATGTGAAAACTCCAGTTGACTGTGTGAAATGCCGCCATGCATATTTAACGAAAACTGTGCCAAGTTATGAATACAGGATTACCAACTGTGACGTAATCAATAGCGTTGAATGTGTAAGTCGCTTACATAAGTTTTGTAAATGCTAGCAAAAGGATAGTCGTTCTCAACTACATTTGCAAAAATCAGGTTGCAGAATAAGAGATCGATAGCCATCCAGGCTATCTTTGTTTTTCTCGAGGACGAGAGCAATCCGGCAATTCGAAAATGATACAATCACCACAGCTGGAAGTCAGGGAAATTAGCGCTAAGAATCTTTAAAATATGTTCATACAGTCAGTGTTAGGTGAAAGGTGAATGAAATGTGTCTAAGTAACACTTTCGCACTTTAAAAGAACCAGAAGACTTGGCCAAAAGGAACCGGTCTTTCTGGCTAGCGATGATTAATTCCTGAAATCCGAAACTGAAACAGTCAGCACTGTTAATCTAGAAAAATTCCCTAACAAAAATGAATGCAAAGGATCCCTAAAACATGGTCATATATATATATAGACAGTATGAGGTGAGCTATGAACAAAATGTGTCTAAATGACATTTCCTTACTTCAAAAGAACCAGTAGACAAAGTCTTGATGGCTGCCGATGATTACTTCTTATAACTGACTACCTAGTGTCACGTCATGCCATATCGGGGATTCCCCATGTGAACTGTAATTAATGAAGGTGATTCTAGAAATTTGTTCACTTCCAAGATTGCTCGTAATCGGTGAACATGGATGATGATGCTGCTGCTGTACAGAAGATGTGGGATGAACTTCCTGAGGAGGAGCGAAATGGAAACATGGGTAAAATCCTCGGGTACATTACTGATCTCTGTCAGAGTGGATGGTCTTTTCGCGAAGCACTTAAAAATGTCGGGGAGATATGCACTTTGGGAGAGCACATTGACACCATCAAAGATATGCTTGGAAAAATACCAGAAGATGGTAAAGAGGCCATCCTTAGAGCTTTTGACTATCAAAAGAGAAATGCTTCAGAGGCCATGTTAGAGGATTGCTGGAATCAGTTTGGTTTATCGTTGCCAGAACTGCGGGAGCGCATTGCAGAGGAAAAAATCACCGATCACCAAAAGATCAAAAATGCGATTCTAAACACAATGAAAGATTTCCAGAAGAAAGAGAGCAACAAGGCAATCACAGATATGGTGTATGGATCAGCCTTCATTGCAGTATTTCAATTTGTGAAGCTCTACATGACTTGGAAGACCATCTCCTGCGCATCAAATCTCATTGAAAGCAACCCTGACATGTTCAGTATGATATCTGGCAGACTTCAAAGAATGGAACAGCTGGTCACAGAACTCGTGGACATTTGCGAAAGAGATCCAAACAATCGCAAAATTCCCAAGAAAGTAGTAGTAATCAACACGCATTTCACCTCAATTCTTGGAAAAATCAGCAACCTGCGAATCAAGATTGATGGCCAAATACAGCGTGTTCATCTCGTGGCTGATTACACCACAGTTGATTACGCCGCAGTTGATGGAGTTATCAATCTTGCAACAAGCATGACACAAGGTTTCCAACTTTTACAGCTGTGGGACAAACTGAATTCCTTTACTAAAGGCTTTGGAGTAGTAATTGTTGCTGTCTTTATGGGCTTCACAGCGGCCAATGCTGTAACATATGTTTTGTCACAACAGACTTTGGAAATATTGCGGAGGGATATGAAGGAGGCGGTCGATTTGCAAAACGCACTTCAAGACCTGTTTGAGCAGGCTGAGCAAGCCTTCAACAATGTGGAGGATAACTAAAATTTTCATTTATAGCTACTGACAATATCTAAGAATGGTTCTCGATTTCAGGCCTACAGTATGTACTAGTCTAGAATTTACATGAAATCAAACCTGCTTGACCTGAACATGCAATGACCAAATATGTTCAATACTGGTAAATTGTAGCATAGATATGAATGATTCCAAAGTTTCTTTGCCAAGTAACACCAGGTTCTGCTCCAGGGTAACCATTCCCCCCCCCTCCCTTCCATAACGGAGCTTCCTAGAAGTGGTTCTTGGGGAGAGGCTTGGAGAGCCCAGTCCCCCCTTTTATTTTGGGTAAAATATAAACACACAAACAACTTTCCCCCCAGCTCAAGGTCTGAATCTGCCACTGTTTCTCCCTACCCAAACCAAGAACGCAAGCGAGGAAAGTTTACATATACATTCTGTCTTTTTTTGTTACAAAATGAAGTAATCATGTAATCTTGTTTACTGCTGCATGAGTAAAGTTGTTGAAAACATAGTAAAGTTTTGTAAAGTTCACCAAATGAATTCCAAGACGCTAGTAGCAGTTTATCTACCAGTCGAGTTAGTGGTGTGATTTAGTCTAAAAGCATTAATGCACAGACCGGATTAATATTCTTTTGTCTAAATTGAAATCAGCCCTTCTGGCCTCGTTCTCCAGTACAAAAGTCAAAAGAATACATTATCTCAAGCGAGGCCAGAAGGGCTAATTTAAATTTAAACAAAAGGATATTAATCCGGCAGCCATTTATGAAAGTGGTCTATAACTAGCACAAAAAAAGATCTGTTGTCTAATATTAAATTTGAAAATATGCAACTTCGAAACATTGTAAGTTGAGTTTTTATTTCAAAATTTGAATGCATTACTTAATCAGTGCTAGTTAAAAAGAAATTAATTTTGTTTATCTTATGTGTACTTTGTTATGAGTGCTGTTGGTGAAATGTTCAAATTTATTCAGTGTATGGATATGAAAGATTGATGAAATTAATCCACAGTTGTTAAGGTTGAATGTGCCAACTTAGTTACACAACTTGCATCATTTACATAATTATGAAAGTTTATTTGACAGAAGTAATAACTCAAGGAGAATGTTTTAAGCCTTCTTCCCTTTTTTGTTTTTGTTTTTTTTTTAGACCACCAATAATTGCAAAACTACTAATGGCAGAAAATCTTAAAGAAGAATGAAAGGCGTGGTTAAGTAACTTGAGGGATGATGTCCTATGTTGTGTACGGGTGCTGCCCTTTGTCAAGAAATAGCTTTAATTATCACAGGCTTCAAAACAACATTGCAAGGCTTGGAATAAAAGCATCACTTTTTTTTGCGCGGATACCTTTTTCATCTCCGACAATAAACAGAAGATATTTCTGAGTGGCCCAATAATCAGGAAATCCCGCCCAACTTTCCATTTGAAATTCTCAAAAATATCTTGTCCCCTCCCTGCAAGGTGATAAAAGTTCTGGCACCAATTGCTCCTCAGAAAAAACAAAATAGGTCCGCAATGCGTACATGTGGGAGCTATCAATTACTGGTGGAAGCTCTTGTTGGAACCACTGTTGTATTAATGCGAACATCTCCAGTTACCACCATTTTTGTGAAACCCTGTTTGAACTCTTAGTTAAACTATGCAATGAAGAGCTGTTGTAATGGAGCGGTCCCGTAAGTGTCTGCAGGCACTTGGGGTACCCAACTGGACTTTTCCACAGAAAGCTACCAAAGTTGGCTTAACGTCACGTTGGCAAAAAAGAGTTAATTATAGCGTAGTGTGTTATAGTCGAATTTTCAGTCCCGGCTTGTTTGCTGAAGCTGGCTAAAAGGGGAATTTAGAAGTCATATACAATCCATGATAGCTCATGGTTAAACCCACACAGTCGGAGAACTTTGCTGTTGTCTCCTGTCAAACTTTGACCTCTATTGTGAACGCGCGCAAGTATTTACGACAAAAGGCTTCTATAGTATACGAGCACATTCTAACATATAATTCTCAGCTCAACTTAATCGGGCGCTCAAATTTTTAGAGTCTGAACGCTTCGCGAAAACAGTATCGCAATGTAAAAAGTCAGATAGCTTCGCGCTCGCAAATAAAAAAGAGAGTCGTCGCTGGCGCGGTGAGGATCGAAAAGCACCAATCAGAACAGATGCCATTTGAACTTTGGTCAAGTTTAGGTTAGCCAATCAAAGATGAGTAAATTTTCGATCCAGTCACATCATATGAATATAGCGTCCGCATGGCATGGATCAAGTTTAGTAAAAAACAGTCACGATGGCGGACGAATATGTCAGGTCTCCGTCAACTACCAAGAGCGCAGCAAATGCCAGGAACTCATCAGGTTCGTCGACGAGAACAGCAAGTTCAACGAAAAGCACAGAAAGTTCAACGAGAAGCACAGCAAGTTCAACGAAAAGCACTGCAAGTTCAAATATGGAGACCATGGTAAGTTCAGTGAAGGGCACGGAAAGTTCAATGGGGGCAACAGGAAGCGGAATTGTCCCTGAAGCAACTACATCGCCAAAGCGTTCAGGCAACGAAGCCATTATAGGCTATGTTCACCAGTTGTCTCCGATAAAACGTAACAACAAAAAAAGCACTATTGACTATTCTACACTGCTGTTACAAACTAAAGATGAAGAGCCGCAAGAAGCGTTGCTGTACTCTAAACACAAAAGGCCGCTGTTGGTGGATAGCGAGAAATGTCGTACGCCTGTAAAAGATTCAACGCTTCACCTACACTTCAGATGGCGAGAAGATAATCATATATGACATGACCAAGATATCAGTACCTGGACAAACTGAGTATTCATTTCAGTTCAAAGAGAGCCCGATGTCGGCGCGTACGCAGCCCTTTTCAATAGACTACCGAAGCCATGACGTCACGTTACCATGGAAGCAATTTTCGCTGGTTCTAAACAAACTTTTAAGATGGCGCCTGTGCTTCTGTTGTGTTGTAACTTTGAGTAAAATGGTTCAGTGTTTCGCGCCCGATTGCAATCATCAGTCCGAAAGAGAGACATGCAAGTTTTCTAGGTTTCCCAGCGAAGGTAGTAGTGAATTTAACCGGTGGAAAAAACTGCTAAGGTAAGCATAACTTCGTGTTCGGTTGAGCGTGTAGGTAGCGTGACCAAGGTCAACAATAGTGATAACCTTTGACTTATTAAACATGTATTTTACTTTATTTTCTTCATCAATTATTCATCTAATCCACAAAACAATGGTTAGTTATATGTTTTCTTATCTGATTAAGTTATTTTTAATGCTTTATCACAGGAGACAAGATCGAAATCCGAGTCGAAACTCACGAGTATGTAGCTGTCACTTTCGCGCAGGTTTGAAAGCAAATGGCCCTGAAATATTCAAGAGAAATTCAGATAAATTATTTCCAAATACTGAAACTAGAACTCCCAAGATTTCTAACAAGAAAAAGAAATCAAAGTTAGACGATCAGGACGATTTGGTAGTTGTGTCCGAGTTCGTGGAAAAGTTCAGTGAAAGTATTGACGACTCTTCGTTGCAAAACGGGGCGGCAAATGAACCGAGTGCACAAGAAGTGCTGGCAACAAATGCCGAGAATTTGATATTAAAGTCTGAAATGGAGAAGCTGAGAGAAGACCTTTGTACGCTAAGGCGTAGAGAACATTATCAACGAGAAAAATACTCTGTGCTTACTCTAAAGGACGATGTAATATGCATGGAAACAGGACTGCCCTACAAGCAAATATTCTCTGTAGTGGTGAGCTATGTCAAGCGTTTTATTAATGACGTCAATTACTTTTACGGTTGGAAGGTGGACATGGTATTGGTGGAAGACCAGATATTCATAACGTTAATGAAAGCAAGACAGAACTATACAAACTTGCACCTGTGGATATGGAATGATAGTTTTTTTGTAAGAAAATATGTAACTTCATAAATTAAAACATTTTAGTGAACATAAATGTTCCATATGCAAAGGAGACTCATTTAAGTTTTTTGTGGCTTCTATTACACTCATGAAAACATTATTTATTGATTTTAAATCATGTTGTATTTTTTATGTTTGTATCATGGAAAGTTTTAATAGAGTATAAATGTACAATATGAAATATAAAAGTATAATGCTATATTGTATTTAATGTTGTCTATATATGTGTTTATCTCTTGTTTAAACTAGCACCTGTGAGATTTGAAATAAAGGTTACTATTAATTATAGAAGGTCATTCACAATTGAAGGGATTAGGTGCTTCACATAAAATTCCTTTAACTTCAAAAGTTTGCCAGCCCATTCTGGATCTTTCTTGATATGCAGAACCAGAGTGTCCTTTGTAGTCCAGACAAATAAAAAAGCACAGATTTCTTTCAGTCAGGTGTAATTGACCTTGAACTTGGTGCCAATGTGAATGCTCTTTGTTTAGTTCATATTCTCCTTTCTCATTCTTTGTGATATAGAAGTTGTCAGAGGCAACAGCTTCTGCTATTGTATTATCCTTATGGGTAAACGGGCATTTTATTTCAAGAAGGCCATTCTTTCCAGTAAGACCATCAGGGGAGGCTCCCAACATTCCTTCCATTTGTAGCCATAGACCAGTATCTTACACTGAGAGTTCTGTAAGTTCCTGGAATGCTCTCTTGGCCTCATTTTCAACTTATCGAAATAGCCGCCATCTTGAATCCACGCTGGTTTGTTTAGAACCAGCAAAAAGTGCTTCCATGGTAACGTGACGTCACACTTCGGTACTCTACTGAAGACATCAAGGAAATAATTACACGACACGGACAGTGAGAGGGCCAATAACTAAAATCAACCAATCAAAATGCTCTATTGCCGGCCAATATTCTCTAAGTATTGGACCAGGCACTGTCCCGAATGGTCTCGAATGATACCGCACTTGTATCCCTTTGAACTTAATTCAGCCGTATAATAAATCTCTTATTAGCCAAGCTTGCTCGGGACCGTACTGGAAGAATATCGGCCCTCGGTCTTTTTTGTACGGACCTCGCTGCGCTCGGTCCGTACTCTCAAGACCTCAGGCCGATATTCCCCCAGTACGGCCTTCGCGTTTGGTTAATAAGATATATATATATATATATAAACTAGGGGATTATTAGTTGTAAAGAAATAGTAGTTCAAGTAGTTCAGGTGATTATTAGTTGATCCAATTCAAAATTCTTCAAAGTAACATCACAAGAATTGTATACTTCTATATACCTCCAGCATGCACCAGTATAGTTATAGTAATTCGGCCTAATGATTTTTTTTAATGGTGTGAAGGATTCTAGAATTCAGAATGATTCTCGTAAACCTGATAAATTATATCCGATTATTTCATTGCTTCCAGGTGGAAAGGATATTCTGGTTAAAGGATCCAGATACTCTGGAAATGGAGTGTTTCATGGAAACAACCAACACAGAACACCAAAAACATCTGCACATCAGTTACAAGAAGGTCACCAACTAATGACTACAGAACTTAAGTCTTAGACTTATGAACTAGCTTAGATAAGTTCTTAGAGAGCTACAAAACCACAAATACAAAGAAGTGTTAGGAGAAATGTATATTTAGGTCTCCCAGATTGTATTCGATGTATTAGACATGAGGGAAGTAAGGACAAATTTCTTATAATTAATCTGTAAAAACCTACACTTCCTAGACAAAGGACCATTTGAAACACTTTTTTTCAAAGCCCTACAATTCACACTCTGTGCTCTTTCCGTCCTAGATAAATTTACTGGTGATACTCTGTTGCACATACAGTTTAACCGCCAATAAGCAACCACCATAAATGTCCAGTCTAGGTGGCTTATTTAATCAGTTGATTTTAATAAATGTTGGAAATATAATGTATATTTTAAATCCTGCCCTCTGATTGGTTTTTGTGGTGTATGTAGAGTAGGTTTCAGTAAGTGAATTGAAATCACAGGCCCAAAGTAAGTGGAGAGGGCACAGAATTAAATACATTAAAGAATGATATAGTTCTCAAAATGTTTTAATCTTTAACTGAAGTTTGTTACTAACAACAAATTATTGTAAATAATGTCGAAATCCCAAGGTAGAGGACTACAATTTTGTAGTTATTTTATGTTGTCAAATGAATAGCTGGTTATAAAGGAAAATTATATTTTCATCGGCTATATTATTTTATAGTTGGTGCTGAAAGACTATAAAATATCACTGCTAGTCACAGTTTGTACAATTTTACACTCAAATTGATTCACTGTTCAAAAAGTTTAACAACAAATTGCTCCTAGTTCTAGCTACACACCATCATGAAAATGTGTTTTTCTGTTTATTTTCCCACACTAGCACTACTTTTTCATACCATAAGGTCATTATAACCCTCATAAACCATAAACACAGACAGTTAAAAGATGCAAATTAATGCAGGGAAATCTGAACCTACACAATATTTAGCAAACCTTTCTTGCAAAATGGGGTGGAAAAGTCCATAAATAAAATTTTTTCAGGGTTATCCTTTAGACATAGAGCCTTGTCCACAGATGATCTAAGGCTCATCACACAACTTCTCCCTACACAGGCTGGAATCCTTCCGTTTTGATGCCAAGGCACCGTGGTTTGTGCACAGAACTGAACAAAAAAGTTAAGAGTTTAAGCTCTGATCAGGTCACTGTTATATTTTTGGGTGAATCACTTAGTCCCATAGTGCTTCTCTTCTCCCAAGTGTATAAATAAGTATCAGTTAACTGTCAGGGAGAGCTAAAAAATGCTAGGAGGTTTCCTGTTATGGGCCAGTGTCCAATCCATGAGGTGCAAATGTTATAGTCAAATCTAAAGAAACCAGAAAAAAGCACCCACATGCATGTACAGGTCACATTACCTGTAAGACTCATCCACATAGGTGTGTTCTGTTTTTTTTTTTTTGCACAATAAACTCTGTGCGCAGTTTTTTTTCTTTCTCCCAACCACCCTTTTCCCATAACTTTCCTAATGAAGGAAAGGATAAGTCAATAACCAAGCTAGGAGGTGGGTAGCAACAAGGATTATAAATGTATCTTATACAATGCTGTACAAAATAGACCTGCACAGAATCTCAAGATGATGAAAAAGATTTTATTTCTCCCAAGAAACACAATATGAGTCTCATACAGCCGCCAGGGCATGTATAATTACCTTAACATATAAATAAGGATGAACTAAAGTCTGTAAAATCCAGTGCTGCCTTTTAAAAGAAATAATAAATTATCATAATTTTACAAACCTCTGACATTTACTCAACAATAATCATTCTCTTTAATATAATTATTTTCTTGAAGGGCTAAGATTAAAGAGCACCCTTATTCTTTTCTCATATGCAGCTTCTCTTGAGAATAATCCAGCAAGTTTACAAGGGGTAGCAAATGGTACCTTGAAAAAATTTACATCTCCTGAAATTTTTACTCATTGACCATAAAAGAATGACGTTTTTCCACCAAAACTGCCCTGTCTAGGTTTTACAGTTTATAAAACAAAGGTTGTAACCTCTCTTAAGCCTCAGATGTTACCATTTTGCCACCCCTTGTAATTCACCAGTTCTTGTGCAGCCACATAACAGCCTGCACTTGATCTAGCTGTTATTGATTAAGATCCAATAGTGCTTAGTCTTTTAACACAACCATTATTAATCTTCTCAGGTTGATTCGAACTACATGATAACTAATAATCATCAAAAAAAGACAATGAGCAGGAGTTTTTTCTAATAACATTAACATGCATGTGGGACAGGAGAGTTTATGAAGGCTGGCAAATTCCAAATGGAAATTGAGGTTTCTAAAAATTAAGGGAGTTTGCAGAGATTACAACGATTGGAGGATGCAATAGACCAGCCTCTGATGAAGGAGAGAGTTAAAGGTGTGTCAGATTCCCAGTAAGCCAGTTGTTTCTCAACCATGAGATTATAAGGAAATCATCTTTTTTAAACTTTCTAAAATTCATTTACATCTTCTAATCTTAAATTTTTCCCTTTTAACCTTTAAAGTGGGACCACATTAACCTTACTTGATATATTTATTGTGCCCAAATCATATTTCCTTACCAACTCTATACCAATAAAACTATCAAATTGTAAAATAAGTGGAACAAAATTTGAACTTTAAATAAATATAATAATTTATTATGTTACTTTAATCTTCTTACATTTTTGGCATGCACTGTACTTTTACACCTCTGGGACCCTCAATATCATGAACACACTTTACAATAACAATTATAATAATACAGTGATAGTTTAGTAATATTTAGAATCGCATAGCTTAAAGTAAACACGCGCTCTGATTGGTCAATACGTCAACCGGAAGAGAGGGTATTTAGCGTGGAATCGCACCAATGCATAAAGCGATATCGCTGACGTGAGTCGCGAGCAAAAATTATTGTTACGAACGTAATTAACGTAAATACAACTAGTGCTACGAAAATACGAACAAATATGAACAACTTTATAGAAAACGAATGTCTTCCAAATTTTGAATTGAAATTGAAGTTTTTAGAAAATTGGAGGAAACCACTCACGCTCAAAAGTACGAGAAAACGCATAGAAAAAAAAA